CTTGTATCACATGTTTAGAGGAACTTATTGCATTTGATAAGCCGTATCAGATGCATCTAGCAAATGCGCCTAACAATCAAGCTGAATTGTTGCGTATTCTTCCCCAACTTTCTTATCGAATAACACCCTATAATATAATATAATAATAATATAATATAATATAATAATAATATAATATAATATATTATACATTAAAAAATTTCTTTCATAAAAATAAGTGAAAGCACCGCTACTAAGAACTATTTCAATACTATAACTAATTTAAAAATACAAACAAAATGAGAAAATCTAATTACCACCGAACTAAAACCGCACTCATAATGTGCTTCAGTGTCTGATTTTAACGGCGGCTCGTCCTCTTCGTCATCATCATCTGACAAGGCAGTTTTTTCTTGCTTCACATTACCTTTATCATTCAAATCCTGCTGAATAAAACAAAATTCTTGCTTTTGATCTACAAAGTTTGTTCATCGATTATGACGAAAATCGATTCAAATGTCTTAGAAAGCAAAAAAAACATCAGGAAAAAAGCAATGAACTACCCTCCATAATTTGGCAAAACTATAGCAATGAGCGATGCTTTGATTCACGCCATCAACCATTATGGATTTCTGGAGATCCTTCTGCTCACGAATTAAATCGTCCAGTCTTGATAATTCCCATAAACGATAGTATATGTAATATAAATCTTCAGCAGAAATCAACCAGTGGCAACGTGGTACTAGTGGTGCTTGAATCAACAAGAATTTGGCAAATTATATGATCAAATAGTAAAGCGTAGTCAACATAATAAGCTTACGTAGTCACATAAATTTTAAAAGACGAACACCACTTATTTTTGAAGTATACAGCATAAATGTAATATTTTAGAAAAGTTGGGACTAATTCGTGTTATTACAAAAACTATCTATGATGACAATGCCCAAGATAATAATAACTCACCCACACTAACACTGGGAAGAATACTATCATCAATGTATTTCCAATCACTACATCCATTAAAACTTTTCCAATAATCGGAATCAACAAACCATGCGCAGTAATCTGCTTTCATCTTGAAATCAGCAGGGAAGTGAAGATAATGATCAGTTCCCAAATCCCACAAATGAAAACTTGCATTACTTGGTCTGAAAATGAGATTAATATTTACAATGACCAGGTGTAGAAAATTTAATTACTATAGCACCAATAAGTAACTGAAATATCATAGTATATTTAGATTTGTCATAACTTGAACTATTCCACTAATGTATCTGTTAACCGCAAAGAAGAGTGAGAAGGGAAAAGAAAAAGATGAAAATTAAAAGAGGAAGAATGGAAACTTTAAGAGTGATTTTGTTTGCTGTAATATTTTAAATATAGAAACGCACTTAAATAATGACCACACTGTCTTAAAAATCGCCATTCAATAATACTGATATGGGAAAGCATTTGCACTGTCACTATGAATGTGGTACCACTTATCATCTTGTAGAAACGATTTTTATATGACTAATAACTTTGTATACTATATTTTATTATAATTAGTGTAATTCCTACTTGTTAATAATTGATAAATGAAAAATGAATGATAAGAAACAAAAAATAGCAAGTAACCTAAATACGCCTAAAAACAAGTTGATTGCATTTTGTTTATCATAGTCACCAAAAGTGTTGCTATAATACCTCGACAGGGTTTGAATCACATCACGACTTCTTTCCTAAAATAAATATCTGTAGTCTATATTACGGACTCAAATTTTCTTACTTTCGACGAAATAGCTCCTAATTATTGTACCTCAATATATTCTGTATCACATGGAAAATCTCGTTCTATCTACACAAAATTTTACTAAATACAAAATGCTTCTTGCACAAAATTGAAAAAAAATGACCATCATTGGATCCATTCATTATCTATACCGATAATAAAGACACTAATAAATACCACAGCCATCAACAACTTCAAAGGATGGGACAATTACTAATTACAATTCGCAATTCCTTGATTTTTAATTTGCTTTTCTTTAAAAATACTGTTGAATCTAGACAGTTAGAATGTTTAGTTTTGGAACTTAAAAGTTTAGAATTTCTAAGCATCCTCCGTCCCCTTCTCGACACTATATCTTTTACTCAAAGAAAGATGACATTTATTAACAGTCGACATTAATAAGAGCACCTGTATAACAGATATCTTTTTATAAGTCTTGATTGAATGCACTAATTGAGATCCCGCATACTGCAGTGCTAATGTATTGCCATGCTGATCCATCAAATCTTCGTATATCCGACAAACTTCACTGGATGAAGAAAGCAAAGGTTCTCCGACAAGCCCCATAGAATACAACTGAAGTCCAAGAGACACCTTCCCTGAAATTCGTGAATAATTAAATGATATGTAACCTAAAAAGTTACGAATTCTAATCAAGAAAAATTCAAATTTTTAGATGACTCATTTCTTTTCCTCATATTTTTTAGCTGTTTCATTAGGAACAAGAAATATAACCTACCGATTCCAAATTGAGCAACATTTGTTCTATCCAGGCAATCTACACAGTTTGTTCTGAAAACACCGTGCTGGAGCAAAAATCTACCATTTGAACTTAGCAGCGGTTCAAAATCGTTGAGCAAGGAAGTCGGTCTCAATCTGCGGCAATATAGCGGCGGGAATGACTACAATGTAACCTATTTCTCAATTGCTCAAATGAAAGTAAAATGCAAATAATAGCAGCTATTACGATGCTTAAAGATTGTAAATATATATATATGTACCTCGAGCTTTTGTTTCTAAATCTTCAAGATTTGCAGTAAGTTTGGTTTTTAATTCATTAGATGTTTTACAGAGTTCCTCAATATCACACCCGTGACTGATAAGTTCCTCAATCCGTGAAGTAAG